AATCCCATTATCTAGGAGGGTCCTGAAAACTTAAAACTAAATTCCATTATCCAGGAGGGTCCTGGTCCTGAAAGCTTAAAATCCTAAATCCCATTATCCAGGAAGGTCCTGAAAGCTTAAAATCCTAAATCTCATTATCCAGGAGGGTCCTGAAAGCTTGAATACTAAATCCCATTATCCAGGAGGGTCTTGAAAACTCAAAACCAAATCCCCTTATCCAGGAGTGTCCTGAAAACTTGAAAACTAGCTCCTATTATCCAAGAGGGCCCTAAAAACTTAAAATTAAATCCCATTATCCAGGAGGGTCTTGAAACCTTGAAAACTAAATTTCATTATCCAGGAGGGTCCTAAAAACTTGAAAACTAAATCCCATTATCCTGGAGGTCCTGAAAACTCAAAAATAAATCCCATTATCCAGGAGGGTCCTGAAAACTCAAAACTAAATCCCATTATCCAGGAGGGTCCTGAAAAGCCGAGAATGAACTTACCTGGGCCATGCTCTTTTCTTGGAGGATTCTGAACAGAATTTCCTACCCCTGAACCATGCCTTCTTCATGGGAGGGTCCCTGTGGATTAACAAATTTTCTTGCCCATGTTTCATACAGATAAAATTTTATTAGTTTGAAAATGTAGTGGTTAATTTGTGGCATCATTGCTGAGTGTCTGCTTTTGCCATTGCCATGCTTCATTCTGATTAGCTGCTTCGGGCCAGCAAGGAGTTGTTTGACCTTTTGATTGGAACTGTACCACAAAAGCTTTGAATGACTTGAATCTCTTACACTCTTTTGTTGCATTGTGTTTTCATTCTGAAAGTTGCTGAATCCTTGCGTTTTCTCAAAATTCAAGATTCACTTGATTGCCTGAACCTCAATTATTACCATACTGCTTATTCTAATTCATGTCAATTATGATGTGCCTGGCCGAACTCCGCTTTGTGCAATTTAGAAGCTGATAGTAGGCTTTGGAATCCTTTCCTGCTTGTTCAACAAGGGCTAACTCGAAAAAGACTCATAAAGATAGACTCAAAGAGCACGGTGAAATAATTATTGGCAGAAGGAACAGAGGAAAATTTTGAACACAGATGACTATGTGAAGAAGAATGGGAAAATAAGACTTATCTGAGTGAAGCGGCTAGCTCCAATGATCATGGCATGAATTTTGGATTGATCAGCCTAATCCGTCCAACCAATCATATTTTCAGTTCATGTCGTGTCTTCATACCTCAAAAATCGGGATTTCACTGATCCAACTTCTCTGTAAAGCCATGAACCTCATTCAACTTGTAGTGCCCCGAAGGGTTTTCACCAACAAGTCTCTCTCATTTGTTCATCTCTCAACTCCCCATCGCCTTACGGTGCCCGTAAGGGTTTTCACCAATTAGACTCTCTCATTTTAAATTTTCTCTTGGCTCACTATCGCCTTATGGTGCCCGTGAGGGTTTTCACCAATAAAACTCTCTCATTTTAAATTTTCTCTCTGTGCCCATGAACAAAGTGTTACCCTTGATATAAATCATACCTCTATCTCGCTTGACTTGGCATCCTTAAAGATTGATCGGAAGGTTTTTCTTTGGACCGTAATTTATGCTTTTGGATAAGGCTAGAAAGAAATGGTGGTATGAAGGTTCAAAATAATTTAAGATGAGAATGGTTTAAAATTTCAACTTTTGGAATCAGATCTTTTGCAAAACCAAAACTGCTGCCCTAGTTTCTTTGGGTCTGGGGAATTTTGGATTTTTATATTGATGTGACCGAACCGTGTAAGTCTGCCTATGTATCCTTAAAAGGAATCAGGTCGAACATAGTTCAAAAGAAAGTCGTTTGTTTTTGTTGCTTTTCTTTTTTTCTTTTCTTCTTCTTTTTTCTTTTCTCTTTTTCTTCTTATTTTCTTTTTCATGTTTTTTTCATTTTTTTATTCTCTAATTCTGCTCCTGATTCCAAAAGAGGGTTATGAAAGAAAATAAATAAGGCTCAAAAGGGATAATAAGGGATAAAAGTGTTTGGGTAGCGGAACAAAATGCCTTCGTCATTTCAACTTTGAACATGCCAAGTACAAAATGCAATTGAAAGTGAGCAAATAACCCATATATATAATATCTCTCGATGCATCAACACAAATAAAAAGTGCCGATGGGCAATACCTTTGTCCCAATGAATGATCCGTGCCAATTCGAAACAGACTTGACTCAACCTTACCTTGATATAGAAGAATGCATTTCAACACTAAATGATCTACCTCAAACTGTTCGGGAGACATTTTCTTGTTGTATGCTCTTATCAACCTCTTGATTTCTCAGACTAACTGCCTCAGTTTCACTCAATTCAAGCTTTAGGCTATCTCAGAATGCGTGAATCTCTACTCGTTTCCTCAAATGCATCTTTTTATCATATTCAAAACTATGTTTTATTATTTCATGATTAGATTGGCTTTCAAGGTCTGACTAAAAACTCTGCATGCATGTCATGTCACCAGAACTGGCCTGGAGAGAACTATATACAAGAAAAGAACTAAACGAAGGCTGTAAATAACAGAAAAATAAAATCTCATTTGACCAAAGGATGGAAGGGTTTGAACAGTAAAAAAAGATCTATGTTAAAGACCTGAAACAACTCTAGATGACAGACTTAGAGATGCAAAACTAACTAACAAGACTCCTAAATATAGGCAAAAGAGGATAGAAGGGTTTGAATCACCAGAACAAACAAGATAAAATCTGGGCTACAACTCTGAAATAATCGGATAGCAGAAAAGATGTTAAAATGAACTCGAAGACTCCTTCCCGATGAGAAAATGAGGTTTTTTCTAATTGCCAAAGTCGAGATCTTAGCCACTGAGTTGCACATCAAAATTACTGGGACCTTCACCAACTTCAATCACATTGTCTTCACCACGTGGCTCATTGACTCCTTTGAACAACCCTTCCTTAGCACTAACTATTGAATTAATGACTAACCCCCTAAGAGATCTTGCCGCAAATGACTCACCCAAGGACTTGAAAGAACCTGCACATTCGTTGTCATGGCAAACCATCCCAACAATTTGTGCATAATCACGTGCCTGTAGAGGATTATATGTGACACTTGGGGTATTATTGCCTTGGACCACAATTATCCCTTCTTGAATCATTCCTTCTATCTCCCTTTTCAAAGCACGACAATCTTCAATACTATGACCTTGGACATTAGAGTGGTACATGCATCGTACAACAGGATCAAAACCTTTTGCATATGGGTCTGGAGTATAGCTGAGGAGCGGCTCAATCATGCCAGAATGTTTTAACTTTTCAAACAAGCTTGTGTAGGATTCTCCGATTGGCGTAAAATTATCTTTCTGCCTTTGTTTACTTCCATGCCTATGTTTTTTAGGGTTATAGGGTGCCTGAAAATGCTGTGAAGGCGCACGAGGATTTTGGGATGCTGATGCTTGCCCCAGGGAGTGACCTAGTGGTTGGACAGATGGCCAGACATTGTTCAGAGGATAATACTGGGGTGGATTATGTGGAGCTCGGGGATATTCATGGGGTCAGTATTATGGTTGAAATCATTTAGCAGGGTTGCCCACTATGTCCTGTCATTGGCGGGGCTCAGCAACATCTTTTCTATCAATCGAAAAACTGACCCGAGCAACTTGTTCGTCCCATCTGAACCAAAACTCCCTAAAACTTTTCTTGAGTTTCTTTTCCATCTGAGATAGGGAGGAGCGGTTTGGGATAATGTCTACATTGTACTGATAGTGCCGAACAAAATCTTGAGCCATGTCACTCGATGCATGCCACTTACTGACATCTTGACGAGTATACCACTCCAAGACTTCCCCACTCAAACTCTCACTGAAATACGCCATCAACAATTCATCTTTCCCGCAAACACTTCTCATTTCATTGTAGTAACCCCACAAATGGGCTACTGGATCTCCACGCCCATCATATAAGTTAACTTTTGGCCTTTTAAACCCCGCAGGCAGACGAATATCCGGAAATGTACACAAGTCATTGTAAGACATGTTATTTCCCATCCCTTGCATGTTCTTTAACGATTGTTCTATAACTTTTAGTTTTCTAGATATCTCATGCTTCACTATCTTAGTAGGCTTTTCGGCTTCACTGGGAGGCTCAAAATGAGGAGCGTAAAAGTATGGATCCGAGACTTTGAAAGTGGGTACTGGAGTATAGTGTTGGGTATCCGGGAATTTCATTATAAGATCGATGGAGGGTAGCTCGCGGAGGGGCTACAAAAATAGGAGCAGATGTTGGAACAGGGTATGCGGTTAATTTGGCTAGTGGAGCATGGAAAGTTTAGGAGACATTAGTACCAGCGGAAATTTGGATTTGTGACAATGGCAAAATGGTGACTAGGCTTTCAGTGTAGTTATTGGGAAATAATGGTGGAGAACGCCCACTAATCCAGGCTTAGTACATTTCAGCCATCTGTCCTTTCAACCTTAGGACCTCTTCTTTCAATTCAGATTCTGGTTCAACAATCTCCTTAGGCGGATCGACAACGCCTGTGTCCAAGTCTTTGCTAGCCATGGCTTCCTTGCTTTTGACCTTGTGTTGTATGGACAAATCACCAAAGTGCCACAAAATAACCACCCTCTGTTATGATAGCAATGAAAGTAACAAAGAGGAACAAAACAAAAGCCAACATGTTAGCGTTACGACATTTATCAGATAGAAATATCACATTGCGTGCAATGCCCCAAGCAACAATTTAATGGTTCTAGAATGACTTCGAGAGTCACAAGGTCATTTGACATTATCCCAATTTTGTTCATTTCAATCTTCTCTTTTCTTCCTTTTCTAGCACTTCTTGGCTTGCTCATTTTTCTTTCTGATAAACACTCTTTTCTTTCCTCTCACTTCCCACATCCACAATTTCATATTTTTTTTAAAAAATAAATAATTCGATCGAACCCTATGTAGGTTGCCTACATATCATGTCCCTCATGAATCAAATCAAGCGTAGTTCTAAAAAATAATGGACAAAATAAACTAAAACAAATCTTTTTGAATTTTTGAATTTTAACTTTTTTTTTCAAATACAAAACAGGAAGTACTATAACAAAAGACTCGAAAATCTTAACTAGACTAACAGACTCGATACTATTGTACACGACTAATAATTAAAAGACAACATAAAATAGACTAAAAAATAAAAAGTTTCCTCAAGCAGTTCGTGCATGCAATGGTCTTAACTAGAATGGTCCTGAGGTATTTATCATGCTCAAGCTCTAGCAAATTGATCCATACCTGAATTGGAAAAATAAGATCAAATAGAGTTAGTGACTGAAGACACATGTGGCGCCACGACACCTTCTATTGGACACATGCAAGGCATGATTAAGACTATTTTTGCAAAATGACCTACGTAGCCAAAATATGACTATTAGCGCAAACTCAACAAAGATGACCTTAAAGACATGGACATACCTCCCTAAGGCTTATATGGATTCAAACTCCCAATAATCATGGCCCAAAATTAATTTGCAGAAGTGACCCATTTTGCAAAAACAACCGATATGACCAGAAGTGGCTAAAGATGCAAACTCAAAAAGGAAGGACCTTAAAGTAATATGACACCTAGTTGTGGAATCAAAATCCTAAGACATGGGTAAATGAACCACTTTTGCGAAAATGATCCTATTTTGCAACAATGGCCGATATGGCCAAAAGTGGCTAGACATGCAAATTCAACAGGAATGGCCCTTAAAACTAAGAGGACACCTTGTTGTGGGCCTAGGACTCTAATACATGGTTAACAAGCCATTTTGCAAAAATATCCCTATTTTGCAAAAACAGCCGATGTGGCCAAACGTAGCTAGACATGCAAGATTTGGCTAAGACCCCGCAAAGCCAAGAACCTAAGACACTAGGAAGACCGGACCCTATGTGGGTAGCCTACGTATTCCACCCTAAAAGATGAGAATCAGGTATGCGTAGTTCGGGAAGATCGGACATGGAAGAAAGCTTTAAAATGAAATGTAGCTAGTTTGGAAAAACTATTTTTTGTCTTTTTGAAAAGTGAAGGAAAATGTAAAATCTTTTTGGATTTTCTTTTCCTTTTTTTTTGATGGGAAAGTGCAAAATCTTTTGAATTTTTCATTTTCATTTTTTTTGATTTTTGAGAAACTATAAAAGAAAATATGAGTGGGCCCTACTTGTTTCACCCCCAAATATCCTTGGTCCGCCAAATGACCCTTTTACCCCTAAAGAGATGCGACATGTAGCACATAGGGATGATTAAATGTCTTTTTGGGCCATAAGCCCATTTTGACATAATTTGGATAAGCCCCCTACAACGGGATACGGTGCCTGGGACCGGACCCTGCTAGGTTTAAATGATATGATGCACATAAGCATGACCTAAAGGCTGACCTACGGTTGGGGTTCACAAGACAAGGCAATTCGGGGCGGCGCATGGTCGATGGCGGCTGCTCTAGCTGTCCGCCCACTCCACGCTCCCACGTCACCCCCTAAAGATACGAGTGACTCACAAAAAGGCCGTGTACGCTCAAACGTACTCCAGAAGACTTGTTGCAGAAAGAAGACCCGGGCTTATGCAAATGATGACAATTTATAAAGCAGTAACACATAAAGGGAAAAACTGTAAACAAATAAGCAACTAAATAAAACGACATAAACAAAATAAAAATCAATTAAAGCAAACAAAACACATAAAAACCTCAACCGAATATCCTAAAAAGCCAATAAGATCTAGTACTAGCTCGAACCTGTAACTCCCCAGCGGAGTCGCCAGAACTGTCATACCCCTTTTTTACAACCTCACTAACCCCTCTTAAAAGTTAATAAAAAGAAAGATTTTGTAAGCCTCAAAAGGATTTTTATTAAAAGTGACAAAATTGGGTTAAAAAGGAAATAACTTAGAGTCGCCACCTGACATTTGTTTCGGTGTGACATGCCACCGTTTTTAAAAAAAATAATTTTTTCATTTAAAACATTTTGAACTCCAAAACTAAGTCTACACTAGAGATTTGGGTAAGGGAGTTCATTTGACTCGGGAAGAAGGTGTTAGGCACTCCCCAAGTCCCGTAAAAATTGCGGTTGCGTACATGATCAAGTTGGCTTTTAAAATATTCAAATTGAGCTAAAAACAAACACAGAAAAGAAAAAAAAACAAACACACAAGAGGCTCGAGATTGTCCCCACCTAAAAAATAAAAATAAAAATAAAAATGCTGCGAGTTCCACTTTCTGCCTCCAAATACAAGTACTTCGGGGCATACCCCGGAAAATATATACAAATTATGCGGGGCATTCCCCGGATAATAAACTAAAAAAAAATGACCTCTTGCCTCAAAATCCAAATAAAATTCTAAGGCTTGCCTACCCGAATGTGGTCGGCTTAAGCATGCTCCTAGCGGACAAGATAATAAAAGCAGGAGAAATAGAACTAATAAAAAAATTCAATTTCATGCTCATTCACTTTTTAAACTTCTTATTTAATGCATTTGAGCAAGCCCGATCCTAAAACATGAAACGATTAATTACTAATGGGCTTTGGTCATTCCCCTCACCCACTACCCAGGTCAAAATAATTTCATATTCAACAAAACCAATCAAAATAACGTGTCCAACATGTAACCATCCAGGGAAATTAAAAGAAAACGAAAACAAGAGAGAATGGAACAAAACTGCCAATAATTCACAAAGCTTGCAAAATAATTGATCATCTAAGGCACACCACACCACGAGATAATGGGCTAAACTTAGGCATATAGATAAATTTAAGCAATATGACTGAACATTGATATAAATGCATAAGGATTTGCATATTACTGTGTCAAACATGTGATGTGAACGAAAATGAGTACCACATATGAGACATTAAATCTACGAACAATCTATGGTTAATACACTTTTGAGTTTAACTAGAAATTAATGTGTTGGAAGCACAAGTTCCTTAACCCAATCAACTAAACTTAACGAGATTGCTTCCTGCTCATTCCAATTCAAACTAACATATAAATACTACATTAATTTGTTTAAAGCTAAAAGGGCTTATCTCTGCCAAGATCTAACTAAGGAATAAACTCTTCAATGCCTATTGGTTAAAGTTGACAGAAAATTTTAAGATGCTAATAAAACTCTTCTAGTCAAGCACAATAAAGAAAACGTAGTAGACTGAAGACAAGCATGATAACATTCTAGGCTCAACAGAACACTTTAAGCCTTGAAACACATTCACCGTAACATTTCCATATTCGACCAAACCTATGCTCACTCGAGCATTAGCAGAATTTGACAGATGAAGATGAACAAACACCCGACAGTTAAAATACGATAAACTGCCTAAAACGAAATTATTAAACCTCCCAACGATAAATTCTTTTAATGGCTCGCCTAAGGCTCGATTCACAACAGAAATAAAGGGATGGAAAAGAGAAGTGAACCTGCTTTAATATGTGAGAAATCCGAGAGTACACGCTTCAAATCCAAGCGAGAAAAATAGCGATGAAATAGGGCAGGAACCACAGATCGGTAGCAACAACTCGGACGGCGCCGATGAACTCGAAACAACCTCAATCAAATCCCATCTCGAAACCAAAATCAAAAGAAGAAACTGAAGTATCTTTGGAGAATTTTCTGATTTTTCGAAATGGAAACAAAATTCGAACAAAATCTGAACTCAAGCTATTTTTTGTATTTTGTTTTTCTGGAAAAGCAAACCAAACATAAAAAAACTCAAAAACTGAAAAGAACCCTAGAACTCCTTTTTTTTCGATTTTTCTGATTTTTCTCTCCCTTATCTCTTAGATCGACTCCCCTATTTATAAGAATCCTAGAAGCTTCCTCTTGCTTCTCCTCTAAGAAATTCGAAGATTTTCTCCCAAAAATCCGACAAACCCCAAGGAATTTGAATTTTATCCCTTTTGATAGCAATAAAGGACAGATGGAGGGAGTAGATCAAGTGTAACTCGATCCTACGCCTCCTATTTTTCCGTTCTTACAGAAAAAAAAGATAAACTCTAAAAAGAAGATGAAGAGAAAACACATGGTAATGATGAGATTTGTTGGGATATAAGTGACGTGGAAGGAGGGGACCATCGAGGGGAGGGGACCAGTGTCATGAAAGGCCGGAATAATGCCTTTTCCTGCGGGTTTGGGCGGGCAGAGTGCGTGAGGGATTGGGGCGCCGTTTATAGGTCGGTAGGGTTAGGGTTTGTGACAAAATTTATTTTTTATATGTGGGTGGGAGTGAATAATGGCCATATGATTAGAATTGATTGATGACCAGGATTAAAACAAAGAGTGGGTCGGGTCAGGCGGACTGAGTCGGCGGGTCAGGGGTATTGGGTTGGGTTGTTGAATTTTGGGCTCATATTTGAATTGGGCTCCGAAATTTACAAAATTGGGCCAAAAGAAAACTGAAAATCTAATTTAAATACCTACAAAAATATAAAAACTCTTAATTGAAATTGATAAACTATTAATATTAAAAATAAAAGCTAAAAATGAAAGTTGAAACTATTTTTTGGTATTTTCAAGGATTATATTAGAATAAAAATAGGTTGAAAGTAATACGTCTTTTTAAAAATACCTAATACTAAATTAAATAGAAAAATAAAACTATTTTTTGTATTTTTCAATTTTTGTGCCTAAAAAAGAATTAAATTTAATAATAAAGTAAAATCCTATAGAAATAAATTCAAATAAATATCTTAAAAATACTAGGACTATTAAAGGTAATTCTAATGTGTGAGTCAAAAATTACATGTCTACATTGCTATCCATCTTCTTATATATAAAATTGAATTATTCAGTTTCTTCTTTAGATAAAAAAAGTAAGTTTGTTATATATTTTGACTGGGTACAAAAGAAACTTATTCTAATATAGACAAAAATATTTTTTTTTTGAGGAAATATGAGCTTTTGAGAAGGGTAGATTATAAACATTTTTTCGCCACCGTTAGGTTGTATGGTTTTGGTAGTTTAAAGACCTTTAACGCTAGAGAACGTGTTAGTCTACAAAATGAAGTAGTGAAAGATTTTTGTTTGCACTATAGGTGATTGAAAGTTAGTGGTGTCCATAATCATCTGGCAAATGATAATCGTTTTTCTACTTTTAGGATTCGAAAAAAAAAAATAGTTTTAGTTCATGTTCTTATTTATTATCAATAGATTCTTTTAAGAAATTAATTTTTTTAAATATCCCTATGAAGTGTGAATTTGTATCATTATCTCTGATTTAACATTGTAATTACTCTATTATATGTATATCTCATAAAAAATGCTTTAAATGGCAAAATAATACAATAAAATTATACAAGTTTTAAAACTCATGTTGCAAGGGTAAGAGGCGAGGTATTCCTAATGATATTATATTGCTAATCAAAAAGTATGTATTTTATTTATAAAAATTTCACCTCTCAATATCCTAATAATTATAGTTTAAATTTTTTATTTGTGTACTTGAGTAGTTTTAGGATTTTATGTAACTTTCTTAATTAGATGAAACTTTAAATAAGCTTCACTGGTATAATATAATTAACTACTCCATCCGTTTCAGTTTATGTGAATCTATTTTCTTTTTGGTCCGTTCCAAAAAGAATGACCCCTTTCTAAATTTGAAAACAATTTAGCTTAAACTCTCAATTCTACCCTTAGTGAGAAACTTTTATAACCACACAAATACTCTGGACCTCTTTTTGACTTGTTTAGGATCACAAATTCCAAAAATCTTCATTTTTTCTTAAACTCCGTGCTCAATTAAACATGTTCACATAAATTGGAACAGGGGGAGTATATATTATATTGATCATCCATTATAAATAAACTAAATTTATAAATTAAACCAAATGTATGTTATTTATAACTTGCTAATCTTCTTATAATTTTATTAATGTTTTTACTAGTTATAGAAATGATGGAGAGGGGTTTAAAAGGCCCCAAAGAGTTTACAAAAAAAAATCTTTCAAATCACTCCTATTCTCTCTTCGATAAATAACATTCATGATCTTTTGGCTCATAATCAAAACCTATGAAAAGTAAAAATGGGTTGAATAATAAACTTTTTTAAAAAATTGATCAAATATGGATAAGATCCATATTATCCACTTAAAAAATGAATAACCAATGAAAAATAATGAGTTTAACTTTTATATTTTTAAAGACTCAAATTGGTGCTTCCTCAAATTTTGGAGATTAAGAATTTTCCCAAAAGTGATCATATTCAAAAAGTTATGGATAATACAGATATCTATAGTATCCATCGATTAATTCGTTTTCTATCCGTATTACATATGGGTCAAATCAAATATTTTATTTATTTTTACATTATCCGTTTTTAATCCGTCCATATCCGATCCCGTTCGCCTATTAACCACCCCTATTTTGGGGGCAATGACAAACTACATATCCATCCTCCTTCGATTGCTACAATACTTTAAAGTTATCATCTTTGACTAAAGAAATAGTGTATCGATAACGCAATAATTACCACTAGTATTACGTCCCAATTTTAAGCAAATCGGGAGAATTTTACTTTTTGCAAAATCAATTTTGGTTATAAATTTTAAATTTTTACCTGGAGATAGATTTTGAAATTTTTTGAAAATTTGAAAAACTCCTGTGAGCAGCTTATTTTTGACCATGTTTGAATTTATTCCTACTTTTCTCTACTCACTACCCACTTCCCCCACTTTCTCCACTCACTACCCACTTTTCCCATTTTCCCCACTCATGTTCCCCACTCTCCCCACTTTCCCTACTTTCTCCACTCACTACCCACTTTCCCCATTTTCCCCACTCATGTTCCACACTTTCCCCACTCATGTTCTCCACTCTCCCCAAAAAATATTTCCTCCACCTACTCTTCATCATTCTCTCTACCTATAACATACACATCAAGACCTCACTTTAAAAAAAATTATATATAGAAAAGGGCGCATTTTACAAGGGAGCTCTCTTCTTCTTCTTGGATTTTTTCTCCAAGCAACAGACAAATACAACAGATCTCACCCTTTCTTCCCAAGAAAAACGGCCGTACACACTCATTTTACCATGGAAGCTTCTCTGAAAATGCACACCTGAATTCACACCCAACATTTGAGAGACTCACTTTGAAAGTTCTTCATACTCAAAAGAGATAGAAAGCAAAGGCTTCAAAATTCAAAATTTTCAGCTGGATTCGGGTAAAGGTTTGCTGCTCTGTTGCTACTGTTGAAATTGCTTCTTGAGCTCCTCATGTGATTTGGATTCTGCTTTTCTTTGGCTTATCTCTTGGTGTCCGCTTAACTCTGTTAGGTCAGTCCCAAATCCTTTGTATTATGTTTTGCTGAATG